AATCGAATCCCAATCTCAATCCGTAGTCTGATCGTAAGCATCAAGCCCATATCAGACTGCGAATTGAGATTGAGATTAGATTGAAATTTGACCAATCGTAGTAAAGTTCACTAATCTCAAGTTTAGTGAATTTCACTCCGATTGGTCAAGTTTCACTCCAATCTCAACCTGAACCCGTAGTCTGACACGGGCTTGAGGCTTTCGGAGAACTGGTACTCCCGCTTGACGCTCGGCGGACGCGAGGGCCTCTCCCGCGCTTTTATTTCCATCGCGCGGGAACATCCGTCCGTCCCGAGATCCTTCTCTTCGTCCCGGAACGCCACGCGAGTCCCACTTATCAATATTAAGCTGCCCGTCGGGAGATAGGGTGACGTCAGGCCGCGGGTCCCAGTGCCCCGCATGGCAACTGCTATAGACGGGGACAAACGCAGACGAGTTGGTATACAGCCACGCGCGCGTCGCCTGCTGGCTTAGGCGGCCTCTCTCTCCTCGTGGCCGCGAACACGCCGCACACGCCTCTCCGTGTCGTGCCCTTCTGCGCCTCCCACGTCTCCCTTTTCTCGCCGCTCGCTCTGGTCCTAGTCTGACACACGTTCCGCGCCATTTACCCGCGTAGGAAGCTCGCGCTCTCAAGTCTGATCTACAATGCGGTTTTTTTACAATTAGAATGTATTTTATATAAGCAAGTCAATACGCTTAAAAAATTTGTCGACAATGTACGATTGTATTATACAGTGCGCAATTTATCAACTTGCAGGAATTTCTTAAGCGTTATATTTATTGGCTATGAAATAGAATTGTTTCTTGACGCACATTGTAGCTCGGACTTAAAAAGTCCGTCCCTTCTGTTTCTCACGCGCGGCCTACGCTTCCGCATCTATGTGCTTTATCGATATAATTTTAATCGAGAATATATTTTCTATCGCGCGCAAGAACATATTCCACTAAACGTGGATAAAGCTACGATATTTACAAAGGAGTTGGGAGCGACGTCTGCGGAATAATCGCAGGACAGAACGAGTTGACCCAAAACCGGACAAGTACCGTTAAAAACCGGCCAGGACCACTGAGGAATCTTAATCAAACTACGATTGCTCTTGTATCTCCTCCGACAGTCCCAAATTAATAGAGGAAAGTCCCCTAATTATGAGATGGCCTCCTAATAAGAGATAGCGAGGTTTCTACAATATTGATAGGCATCATCTGTTGGTCCCGCCGTGAATTTATTGCTCCTGGAGTGAAGTCTGTTTAAATTTATTGTTAGATTGTGTAATAGTTGCGAACAGAGATTTGTTATTGAATTTGGACGTTGCAAACCTGCTGTCTCATAATCGGGGACTCTCCTCTACTAAAATAATGAAACCTTGTGTAAAAGAAATAAGACGCTGTCTAACGGACGGGTGGACCGAAAACTGTTGCCCAGCAAGATGATAGGAATGCTCGGCGAGATTGACCTCTCGGTGTCGCCGGCGACGGCGACGGTCATCTCGCGCGCGCGAGCGCGCGGAAACAAACGGGAGACAGCTGCCCCGTTCATAGGAACAGAGACGGCGAACCCTCCCGGTTTGGTCGGGCCCCGGTCTCTTTCACCCGTCGCGCGGATGCGCCGCTATTCAGCGCACGGTGTGTTCGAGTGCGTGCGGGGCAGGGATCGACACCCGGCGTCGCGCCGCGCCGCGCTTTGCATCGCACATCATGTGGCTCTTTAATATAATGCGCAAATTCGACGCAGTTCGGAAAGATGCACGAAACGCGTGCGACGCTGCCCCTCGACGGCCATTCTCGGCGAGGAGACGGTCTCCTCCAGGCAGGATCTCACGTCAACGAAATCGTTTTCATCACTTCATATTTTGCGAGTCACTAGATCGGACGAGCGTTTGCATTCCAGTTAAAAGCCGCTATTATTGGCATATACATAT